AGGGCTGCAACCGGTCCACGAAGGGCAGCGAGGGGGCCACGAAGGGCTGCAACGAAGCCACGAAGGGCAGCGAGATCCCGATTCTTAAATGATCTGTGAGGGAGTCCTAAGTGCGAGCGCGACTCCTGGGTGGCTGAGTGTCGGGAGCGCGGCGCTTGAGTAAATTGCGAGGATTCCAGCGCAATGGCGCTATTCTTGAGCAAATTGCAAGCAAGTCTCCAGCGAGAGCGCGACTCCAGAGAGAGCGACTCCTAAATAAATTGTGAGGAAGTCCCAAGCGAGAGCGCGATTTCTGAATAAAATGCGAGGGAGTCTCTGGCGGGAGCGGGGGTCCTGGCTAAATTGTGAGGATGTCTCAGGCGGGAGCCGTTGTTGTTGTAACCCGGGGGCCGACAATGCAGTTTGAGGAGGAAGACCTTCCCTGATAAAAACAGGGCGCGAGCGACGGGAGGGGCACTTCAATTGAAAAAATCAATGTGCACCCGATGGGGGATCAACAAAATAATGATTCTTCAATAAAGAGAGTCCAACAAAGACGGCACTGCACCCAGAGCCCCGTTGCACGGGGACTGAGGTCAATGGTTGTCCTTAAGGGAGACACTGCACCTAGAGCCCCGGGGGTCGCCCCCCCCCCCCCCCCCAGCAACCAGCAAGCAGCAACCCAACTGGCTCCTCACGCTTACCCAAAAGCAATCCTATGGAGCTTGCTGCTTACACGACCCCGAGGACGTGCGCTCTCGATGACACAGGTGCGCGCCGGCGAGGCGCGCAACCTGCTCGGCATCCGAAGGAGTCCATGGGAATCCCTGGGACTTGTTAGGAACCCCTGGGAATCCATCCATAGGAATCCCTGGGAATCCTTAGGAATCCCCTGGGCTGCTTTGGAATCCCAAAGGAATCTCTAGGAATCCTCAGGGATCTCAAGGAATTCTTGGGAATCCCAGGGGATCCTGAGGACTCCCTGGGAATCCTTGCGAATCTTTCGGGATTCCTTTGGAATCCTGAAGAATCTTCAGGAATCCTTAGGACTCCTTGGGACTCCTTAGGTCTCCCTAGCAAACCTTAGAAATCCGTAGGGATCCTTAGGAATCCTTAGGAATCCCTCGGAATCCTCAAGAATCCGGGGGAATCCACAAGAATCCGGAGAAATCCCAGCTGAATCTTCAGGAATCCGTAGCACTCGTAGGCATCCATAGGAATCCCTAGGAATACTTAAGGGATCCGTAGGAATCCCAACGGGATCCTTAAGGCAATTTCGGAACCCCTAGGCATGCTTTGGGATCCTGAAGAATCCTTTGGGATCCCTTGGAATATTTCGGGGCCCCTCGCAATTCCGAGGAATCCTTAGGAATCCATAGGACTCCTTAGGAATCCGAATGGGGTCCTCAGGAACCCGGCAAGTTTCCTTACAAATCCGTGGGAAACCTTGGGGATCCTTATGAATCCTGCGGAATCCGTCGGCATCCCAAGGAATCGAAAGGAAACCTGGGGATTCCTTCGGAATCATGGGGGTTGCCTACCACAGATTCCAAACCAAGGATGCCTTACCAAGGACTCCCTATCTTTAGGAACCCATAGGAATCCATAGGAATACATAGGAACCCATATGAATCCTGAAGAAAATCCATGGGAAGATATAGGAATCCTGAGGAAACACTAGGACTACTGATGAAACCCTAAGTATCCCTGGGACTGTAGAAATCCATAGGGATCCATCGGATTCCTGAGGAGCCCCTAGGAATCCATAAGACTCCAGAGGAATCCATGGGAATACATACGAATCCTCAGGAATCAGTTGAGGCCCCTCAGTAACCCCTCAGGCATCCTCAGGAATCCTTGGGAATCCAGATGTATCCCTAAGAATCTTCAGGAACCTCAGCAACCAGCAACCCCAGCAACACCCAAGGGGGACCTTCGATCGATATTCCATACGAGCCAATCGGAATCCATAGGAATCCCTGAGAGATCCTTAGGGATCACAGAGGAATCTTTAGGAATCCTGCGGAAGCCATTGGAAACCATAGAACTTCCTAAAGGATCCTCAAGAATCCCACAAAGAATCCGTAGAACTCACTCGGGATAGTTAGGAATCCCTCGGGATCCTTAGGAATCCCCAGGGAATCCGTAGAAATCCTTCGGGATAGTTGGGAATCCCTCGGGATCCACAGGAATCCCGATGGATCCCGCGGGATTCCTAGGGATCCCTCGAAAATCAAGGGACTCACTAGGAATTCTTAGAAATCCATCGGGACCCATGGGAATCTAAGGAATCCGTAAGAATCCCTAGGAATCCTTGGTGGTACCTCGGGATCAATATGAATCCTAAGGAATCCATATGAATCCATAGGACTCCTGAGGAATCCCTGGGCATACCTAGGGATCCATAATAATCCATCGGAATCCCTCGGAATCCATAGGAATACGTAGGAAACCAAATAATCCAAATGAATCCGTAGGAATCCTTAGGAATCCCTCAGGAACCCTTAGGGACCCATTGGAATCCTTCAGGAATCTTCAGGCATCCTCAGGAATCCTTTAACTCCTCAGGGAACCTAACAACCAGCAACCCCAGCAAACCCCCAGTGGGGCGTTCGGCCCTCCCCGGGGGGGAAGCGAAGCTCCCCATGAACCCTAACAACCAGCAGCCCCAGCAACCCAAGCCCCCCCCCCAGGGGTGCCTTCGACCGATATACTATAGGAATACCATGGGGAGCCGTAAGGGATCCTTCGGAAGTCCAAAAGGGATAGTTACGAATCCTCAAAAATCCCAGAGGAATATTTAGGAATCCAGAGAACTCCATATGAATTTCTGAATCTTAGAACCCCTACGAATCCAGAGGAATCCATATGGGTCCGTCGAAATCCCCATGAATCCATAGGAATCCCCAGGAAACAATAGGAATCCTTAGGCATCCCTAGGAACCCCTAAGAATCCGTAGACATCCATCGGAATCTGAAATAATATCTGGGGATCCATAGGAATCCCTAGGACTCCCTAGGGGTCCATAGGAACCCAGAGGAATCGCAAATCATCTACAGGAATACATGGGAATCAGCATTAAGCCATCGGAATCCTTAAGAATCCTCCAGACTCCATCTGGAACCCTTAGGACTCATTCGGAATACATAGGAATCCTTAGGAATCCCTCGGGCTCCATGAAGAATCCATCAGGAATCCGCAGGGATCCTCAGGAATCATCAGGAACCTTAGCAACGAGCAACCCCAGCAACCCCCCAGGAGGGCCGAAGGCCCCCCTGGGGGGTTGCTGGGGTTGCTGGTTGTTGGGGGTGGTCCAGGGCTCTAGGTGCAGTGCCCACCAATAACTTAACAAAAACATCATCAACAACAGTCCACATCGCAGAACCTCACTTCAGCCACGCGCCCAGGGACAGTGAATGACCGTTCGGTCCCCTCACCCGGATACACATCACGTGCATGCATATGCAAATATACATCCTCACACATATACACACATGGAAACAAGCATACCTACATACATACGTACATACGTACATACGTACATATACACATTCAAGCATGCACAATTGCATGTACATACATACATACATACATACATACATACATACATACATGCATGCATGCATGCATGCATGCATGCATGCATGCATGCATGCATGCATACATACATACATACATACATACATGCATACATGCGTGCGTGCGTGCGTGCGTGCGTGCGAGCACGCATGCATACAGTCATACATGCATACATACATACACCATACATACACGCATGCATGCATGCATGCATCCACACATGCATACATGCATCCATACATACATGCATGCATGCATGGCTGCATCAGGGCTGAACCTAAACGGTGTGTGTGTAGTATTCGTGTTATGATCGTTTTCCCTCGTTGTGTCTCCAATCTGCCTGTATCGCAAACCGACATCGAAACGTCACCGGCCCACGACGTCGCCATAACACCATTTAGGTCCAGCCCTGGTCCGCATACATACATACATACTTGCATACATACATTCATCCATACGTACACACCTACACAAATAAGCACATGCATGTACTTACACATGTATACAAACATACACACATACATACACACCAATCCACTCATACATACATACACACGTGCGTACACGCATACATCCATGCATGCAAGAGCGACGGAAGGAATCCATACATACATGCATGCATATATAAATCTGCATGCGTACAGCCATGTCTGCATACATACACACATAAATACGTACGCACATACCTACGTACATACATGCATACGTACACCCATCCATCAATTACATACATACATGCATGGCTACATACATACCAACATACATGCATGCATACATACGTAACGACACGCATACTCACATCCATACACACGCAGGCATACACGTATACATACACATGTGAATCCGTACATGCTACATGCAGTCAACCATGCATACACATACATACATTCATACAGGCATGCATTAATGCATACACAAATAAATGCATACATACATGCACGCATGCATACGCAAATGCAGACATGCAGACATACATCTGTACATACACTCATACACACACGTCTACACACATGCACACATGTATGCATACACACACATGCACACATTCACACATACACGCATGCACACATACATGTATACACCCATACATGCATGTATGCCAGCCTGCCTGCCTGCCAACCTGCCTGTCTACTTATCTACAGTCATACAGACATGCATGCATGCATACATACATGCATACATACACACATGAATCGGAGTGAGGGGCGGCGGCGCGGGCGAGTCGCCCCCCCCCCATGTGGAACCCCCTCGGAGTAGCTCTTGGTGTAGCAGCCATGTGTTGTAGCCCCTGCGTATAGTAGTCCCCAGGGGCCGGGCCCTCCATCAGCCACGCACGCGTAGGGAGCAAGTAAAGCCGTTCTGGCCCATCGACCCACCTCCGCCTCCCAGGGGAGGGGCCGGGGGGCAAGGGAAGGACAAGCGGGAGCGAGGGGCTGGAGGCCCTGGCGACGGCATCCACGTGGGGCTCGTGGACGGCCCTCACCTCGCTGCCGAGATCGCCCTCGCTGGGGATGCGGAAGCGGATCTCCTCGGCAGATGCGCAGGCCTCCTCCTCCTCCTCCTGCTCCCCCTGCTTCTCCTCCTCCTCCTCCTCCTCCTCCTCCTCCTCATTCTCCTCCTCCTCCTCCTCTTCTTCCTCCTCCTCCTCCTGCTCCCCCTGCTTCTCCTCCTCCTCTGCTCCGTACGTAGGACGAGCGTGCGCTGCTGCACCCGCCGCGTCCGTGAGCACGTGCCACGGCACGCGGCAAGGAACACCTGCGGTGTGTCGCCTCCCCTCTCCCGCCCTCCCCCCTCCGCTCATCCCTCCACTCCTCACCTCCCCCGCCGTCCCCTTCCTCCCCCCGTCCCCTTCACATCTACACAATATTTGGGTGTCCCAAAACCGTGTGGTGACAGACCCGGCGGCGACCTCGAAATCCGCAAAGACCTCACCGCATGGTCCGTCACCACACGGTTTTGGGACCCTGGAGGTCCTAACCGCCCAAAACATCCTCGGAGAACGACCCAAGTCCCGAACCCGTGCGGTGACCCCGAACCCCCACCGACTCACCACACGGTGTGGTCACCACCCCGTTTGGGGGGCCCCGAAATATGAATACTACTCTTCTCTCTCCCCTGGTGGCGTCCGGGAACTGTTCGGCCGCCCTCCGCGCATGTGTTTAAACACAGGATTCCCGGGAGTTGGGTCTTCGCTTCGGTTTTTGTTAAATGCTGCTCTCGCGGAAGCGCCGGCCTCACTTTCGGGCTACCGCTTGTTCCGAATGGCGCTCCCGCTGCAGCGCTGGCCTCATTTCCGCGCTCCTGCTCGTCCCGAATCGTGCTCGCTGCAGCGCTGGCGTCATTATTTCCAGTGCCATGCCACGGCATGGTTTTCGGTCCTCCCAAACAGGCCCCAAAGTCTAGAAAATGCCCCCCCGAAAAACCATCGGAAGTGATTCCACATTCGGTGCCGATTCGTTGATTTCTTGGGCCGCAGAAGGCCCCCCACCCCCCCACTTGGGGGCGTCGCCACGTAATGCTATGGCAGGCTACGCGTCCTCACTTCCGCGCTTCCGCGCTTGGTTTTTTTCACAATGCTGTTCTCGCTGAGGCGCTGGCCTCATTTTCTTGCTATCGCTCGTCCCCAATCGTGCTCCCGCTGCAGCGCTGGCCTCATTTCCGCGCTTCCGCTCGTCCCGCATCGTGCTGCCGCTGCAGCGCTGGCGTCATTATTTCCAGCGCCATGCCACGGCATGATTTTCGGTCCTTCCAAGCAGGCCCCCAAAATCGGAAGTATTTCCACATTCGGTGTCGACTCGTTGATTTTCTAGGCCGCAGAAGCCCCTTTGGGGCGTCGCCACGCCATTCTATGTCAGGCTACGCGTTGATCTTCAACACCATGCTATGCCATGTAATAATATGCCATGATACGACATACGACTGTGCGGATAGAAAGGAGATAGACGCCATGGTTCAGGGATGGGAGGGAGGGGTAGGACGTCAGATATGACGCGCGCGAGCACACCTGGCTTGCCCCCCCCCCTCCCCTCCTCCCCCCTCCCCTCCTTTCCTCCCCCCCCGCCCCTCCGCGGGAGATCATTCATCCGTCCCCTCCTCCTCCTCTGACCCTCTCCTGCCCTCGGCGCACGGCCCTCCTGCCCGTCGCGCATCTGCCGCGCGGCGTCCACGAAGCTCTGGCTGAAGTCGATGCCCACCACCTTGCCGCGAGGGGCCCTGCTCCCGTAGGACGCGAACTCTGCACACACACACACACACACACACACGCTGGCCATCGCTCGGACGTCCATTCCCTGTGCGTTTTTCGATTCCGCGCGTGGTTTTTTTTCTCGCCAAACGATCCAGGATGCTCCTCGATGGTCCTCGCCGAAGAAAAAGTGCACACGTCAGAGCGATGCCGAGCACACACTTTTTGCCGAGCGTCCCGCCCTCCACGGGGGGACGCAGCGGCCGAGCCCCGTCCAGAGAGACCAGCCGTCGGGAGTCGGAGGCCCAGAGCCAACCTCTGCCGACGGCGCCCTCCGGCCAAGCGGGCGCCAGAGCACCCCCTCGGCGCGCACGGGGCCCGCAACAAGGCTCAGGAAGACTGTGCGCACACACAAGCTCAAACACACATACACACAAACACACACACACACACACACACTTGCAACGACCGTGGCCAGGCTCATCCCGGGCCCAGAATGGGTGCATACGCCCTCCTGGCGTCACCATCGAAGCCATACCTGTGAGGAGCTGGTTGTTCAACCACTCTCCGTAAAGCCATTTATCGGGGCTGCCCCCATGCCCACGCCCATACCCCTCCCCCCTGATAGTCTCACGATACGCGCCGACACTGACTGGGAATGGCTAGTGGCAGCTAGTTCACATGCGGCACCAACACAAATCGTGACGTCACCAACTCTCGCCCTTCCCCCCCCGTAATGCTCGCTTGCTCCAGACAATCTGACTGAAGACTGCCCTGCTGGCGAAAAGGTGCCAACGGTTGGATTTGCAACAAGATACTAGCGCTGTTGCCTATACGACCCCCCATCGGGTGATAGGGAGGTTCGGGGGGAGAGAAACCACCGTCTCACAGTATCAATATCACTATCGATCTCACTACCGATATCACAATCGACCTCACTATCCACGATCCCAAACCACGTGCTGATCCTCCTCCTCCCCTTCCTCCTCCTTCTCCTCCATTCCTTGTCCTTATAAACGACTCCTTCCTGTCGCGCCCCGAGGCTGGTCGAAAGGGCGGCCGGGCATTCCGGCTGAGACTTCCTTTTCGATGTATGACCCTGAAGCTTAAAGATTGGCAACAGTTTCACAGATGGAGGGCGGGCGATTTTCAAAATGTGGCTCTCGCCTTCGCACCACACATTCGTCTTAAACATTCGTAGAATTGTCATGTATTGAAAGCGGGTGGCGCCTCAGCACCGGGCACATTCGTTTTAACAATTATCCCAGTGCGACCCTACATAGGAGTTGGAGCCCCTAGGAAAGCAGCATTAGTGCGAACAGTAAAGCTAAAGCTAAGTTAAAGCTAAGTTGAAACTAAACTAAAGCTAAGCTAAAGCTAAGCTAAGCTAAGCTCAAGGTAAGCTAAAGCTAAGATAAAGCTAAGCTCAAGCTAAGCTAAAGCTAAGCTAAGGCTAAGCTAAGGCTAAGCTACCGCTAAGCTAAACCTGAGCTAAAGCTAAGGTGCAGATAAGCTAAAGCTAAGCTAAAGCTAAGCTAAAGCTAAGGTACAGGCTAAGCTAAAGCTAAGCTAAAGCTAAGCTAAAGCTACGGTAAAGGCTAAGCTAAAGCTAAGCTAAAACTAAGCTAAAGCTAAGCTACAGCTAAGGTGCAGCTCAGCTAAAGCCAAGCTAAAGCTAAGCTAAAGCTAAGCTAAAGCTAAGGTACAGCTAAGGTACAGCTAAGCTAAAGCTAAGCTAAAGCTAAGCTGAAGCTAAGCTGAAGCTCAGCTAAAGCTAAGCTAAAGCTAAAGCTAAGCTAAAGCAAAGCTAACGCTAAGGTGCCGCTAAGCTAAAGCCAAGCTAAAGCTAAGCTAAAGCTAAGCTAAAGCTAAGCTGAAGCTAAGCTGAAGCTAAGCTAAAGCTAAGCTAAAGCTAAGCTGAAGCTAAGCTAAAGCTAAGCTGAAGCTAAGCTGAAGCTAAGATAAAGATAAGCTACAGCTAAGCTGAAGCTAATCTACAGCTAAGCTAAAGCTAAGCTAAAGCTAAAGCTAAAGCTCTCAGGGGACTGGGGGAACCGCGGGGCGGGGACTGGGGGAACCGCCCGGGGCGCTGTGCACTGCCCGGCCCTTTAAGCTAAGAGAGTAAGAACCCTTCTAGGCAGAGCCTATGTAGGGAAATACGAAAGCTTCACAAATGTAAGGCGGGTGTTTTTCAAAATGTGGCTCTCGCTTTAGCGCCGCGCAAATCGTGTTAAATATTTGCAGAGGTTCACAGATTGAGGGCGGGTGGTTCTGAAGATGTGGCTCTCGCCGTAGCACCGCGCACATTCTTCTTAAAATGTACAAAGGTTTCACGGATGGAGGGCTGCTCCTGTTTAACATGTGGCTCGCCTTAGCACCACGCACAATCGTCCTAACATTTGCAAGAGGTTCACGGGTTCCCATCGTTAACGTACCACAAATGGCGTTATGGAGCGATTCAGGACTGTCAGAGCGCAACAACTACGTTGATTCGCTGAGTTGAAATCCCAGAAATGGTGTTCTGGCACGATTCAAGATCGTCAAGACGCAACAGTCAAGTTGATTCGTGGCGTTGAAATTCCGAGATTGATGTTTTGGCACGCTTTGTGATCTTGCAACGGTTGTCTTCCAACGGGGCACTGCCCTCCGTGGATATGAACCCTTGCAAGGGCCTATGACGAGGTAGCTTAGAGGGAGATGTTCTTCCAACATTATTGGTGAGAGTCTTGGGTTCAGTCCTCCTCCTCCTCCTCCTTCTCCTCCTCCTCCCCCTCCTCCTCCCCCTCCTCGCCCTCCTCCTCCTCCTCCTCCTCCTCCTCCTCCTCCTCCTCCTCCTCCCCCTCCTCCTCCTCCTCCTCCTCCTCCTCCTCCTCCTCCTCCTCCTCCTCCTCATCCTCCTCCTCCTCCCCCTCCCTCGTGCCCTCCCTCCGCTCGGGGTGGCCAGGGGCGGCCAGGCCTCGCCTCCTCGAAGCTGCCGGCCGCCGCCAGCTCGAAGCTGGCGCCGCCCACGGCACAGCCTGGGCCAGCCGGCGGCCGGTCTGGGAGCCAGGACGGCAGGCCGTGGGGGGAAGCACCTGTGCTAGAGGCCTCCCAGATGGGGTCGGAGTAGATGGGGTCGGAGAACCGTGCCGCATCGCCGATACATCGGCGATGCATCGGCGATGCATCGGCGATGCATCGGCGATGCACTGGCGATGCATCGTCGACGTGGGCGATGCATCGGCGACGCCGGCGCGGAGAAAATCGGGCTCCGCATCGAGCCGCATCGGCGATGCGGCGCGATCCTCCGACCCCATCTACTCCGACCCCATCTGGGAGGCCTAGATGTGCCCAAGCCAGGACCGGGACACATCGGGGACCTCTGAGATCCGGCGGTGCTGGAGGTCGCATCGGCCGCTGCTGTTCCAGAGCGCTCCAAAAACGCTCTGAGAGCATGCTGCAACGCTGCGAAGCCATGTGTCCTGGTCTTCAGCCCCGCCCGAGATAGAGAAGCTCTCGCCGAGGTGCGCTCAGGACAGGGTCCCGGGGCGAAGCCCCAGCCGCCGCGACGAGGGGACGGGAAAGGAGGGATGTGGGCGTGGGGAAAGGATGAGGAGGGAGTAGTTGGCGGGAGCATGAGGGGGACAATGATGATGATGATGATGATGATGATGATGATGAGGAGGAGGAGGAGGAGGAGAAGGAGGAGGAGGAAGAGGCAGGAGGAGGAGAAGTGGGAAGAGGAGGAGGAGGAGGAGGAGGAGGAAAAGGAGGGGGAGGGGGAGGAAGAGGAGGGGTAGAATCGCCATGGCCAAACAATGACCAAGCCTACCCTACGTTTGTCCAGGTCGGCTCACTGTGCTGTCGCTTGGATACAGGATGAACGGCGGAGGAAGATGTGCAAACCCTTCGGTGCTGCACATTCGCTCTCCTCTGGGGCCAACCCTCTTCCCGGCCGCTGCCCTCCATCTCCCCACCTTCCCCTGCGCTGCCTCGTGCGCCCCTTCCCTTCACGCACTCCCCTTTCCCTTCCCTGCTCCTCCCTCTTTCACCCTTCCGCCTCGTCCGCCCGCCCTCCCTCTCCACTCCAGTCCGCAATATACCCTCCATGCCCTCCGCTCCCCTGTCCGCCCCCCCCTCCCCTCCTGTCTCCGCTCTCTCCTCCTGGCTGGTCCCCCCCCTCTTCTCTACGCCTGCGCCAGAAACTACTCAAAGCCGCATCCTCTCGCTTTTCCCCCTTCCCGCACCCCCTGACTCAGAAGAAGAGAGGGGAAGGGAAGAGAGGAAATGTTAAAAGAGGGAGCACGGGGAGCGTGGTTAAAAAAGTAGATGGGGTGAGGGCTAATGCGAGACGGAAGTGGGGGAGGAGAAAAAGAGGACGGTCGAGGAGAGGCAAACGGGAGGGCGAGGGAGAAGAGAAAAAAGGGTGGCGTGGAGACGAACACGACGGGAACGGAGCGAAGCAAAGAAAGCTGACCTCCCGATTGTCGTCCTGCTGTGTCTCTCCCGCATACTCCTCCTCATCCTCCTCATCCACCTCTCTCTTCGAAACACTGTCCTGCACCTGCCTGCAGCTCCGCCTCCTGACCATGCCCCCGCGCCTCTTCCAGACCTCCAGAATCCCCCCCAAACAGTAGTAACGACCAACAGCCTCCTGCAATGCCACTAGACGTGCGAGATACCTCCAGAACTACTTCACCCCTGCCCCAGCTCACCCGAAGTCCCCCTTCCAACTCCTCCTCCTCCTCCTCCTCCTCCTCCTCCTCCTCCTCCCCCTCCTCCTCCTCGTCCTCCTCCTCCTCCGCCTAACCCCGAAGCCAGGGCTTTGGGGCAGGAGCACTCCGCTGGCTCCCGATTGCCCCCGATCGGTGACTTCGTGGACGCGTGGCCATCGATGGTGTCGCGCCCGAGGCCCGCTCGGGCGCACGCCGAGCGGCTGCGCCGGGCACCTCCGTGCGCGGTGGGCGCGCGCGGTGCACAGGGGCGCCCTGCGTGGCCGTGCCGCCGCCCCGGCGTCGGGGCGGGGCAGGAAGAGCACCGGGCTCTCGACGCACTGGTGGTTGCCCGAGTGTACCGTGAAGTCGGGCCTGTCCCCCTACAGGGGGATTTGCGACGAAAAATAAAGAATACCCGACAAATAGTAACAAGAATAGTCCAAAAATGGTCCAGGTACTATTTTTTGAGTATGTTTGAACCTTTTCGAGGTATTCATTTTTCGTCGAAATCCCCTCTGTAGAGGGACACGCCCGACATAAGTGTACCGTCCAGCCCAAGTGCTCCTTCGTGGGCCGATCGTGGCAGTCTTTCGTACCTGCGGCTGGCCGGGCGTACCTTGGCGGCGCGCACAAGGGGGTGGGGGGGGGGGAGGGCTCCTTAGAAGCAGGCTGCTTCTTGGAAGGCGCCGGCCTTACATCTATAGATGAGGCCCGCGCCTTCTAAGAGGCAGGGGTGCTTCTCAGAAGCCCTCCCCCCTCCCCCCACCCCCCTTTGCGCGTGGCTGAGTACCAGCCGGTGCGGGCGTGGGGGCCGCTTGCCGCAGCCCCCTCGCGCCCGTCCCGCCCGCCTCGTGCGTGCTCGAGCCTCCGACTGGCGCTGAGACGGGGGGGGCAGTCCGAGCGGCTGGCCGCCCCCGTGCCACCGGCGCCTCTCGCAGTGGCACGAAGGCGACGCTCTCACTCGGGGCCAGCACACAGTCCTCCTCCTCCTCCTCCTCCTCCTCCTCCTCCCCTCCTCCTCCTCCTCCTCCTCCTCCTCCCTCCTACCTTCCCTTCCCTCCTCTCCTCCTCCACCTCCTCCTCCTATCATCCTCCTCCTCCCCCTCCTCCTCTCCTCCTCCTTCCCTCCTCCCTCCCCTTTCCTCCTCTCCTCCTCCTCCTCCTCCTCCTCCTCCTACCCTCCTACCTCCCCTTTCCTCCTCGACATCCTCCTCCCTCCCCGTTCCTCTTCATCCTGCTCCCTCCCCTCCTCTTCCTCCTCCTCCTCCTCCTACCTTCCCTTCCCTCCTCCTCCTCATCATCATCCTCCTCCTCACCCTCATCCTTCTCATCCTCTCGAGAACGGATCTGGAATGGCCCCAAGCTGGCCAGAACTGCGGAGGTGTGGATGGGGGTTATGCCAACGAGGTGACACTGGAATGCCAATTGGAGGTGCTTGCGAACACCTGCCAGGCCCGATTTAAACGCTAGGTCGTGCGGAAAGGATTGCTGCAGGCCCTCCAGTTGCTGCCCACGGTGGCCCTCATTGTCACCGACCTGCCCGGTCTCAGAGACGAAGCAAGCAGGTGGTGCAGCACACCCGCGCACGCACAAGGATCGTATACAGACATCTGTCGAGATATGTGCGTTGTTGTGGAGCCTGAAACACCTGCAGTTTTACCAGATGCCTGCGCACATGACGCTGGAAAAGGCACTGGTGTCTGATAATCCTTTCGAGTTCAATATGGGCAACTGCTGGTCTGACTGGTTCGCGCGACGGCGAGCTATGATGCATGTGATGCCAGCGCCATCACTTGAGCACAATGAGGCAAGGGTGTCTGAGGCGAAGGTCCAGGCCCAGTGCTTCGGGAGGCTGCGTGTGAGATCGCGTGTCGTGAGTGAGCCTGGACGCCCTGCGCAGTCGCACAGCCCCCCCGCTGATGTGCATCCCAAGCTGGCCCTTACAGAGCATGCGATGGCCAGGCTCGGGGCCAAGGTGCTTCAGCGTGTAAGAGGTTCCCAGCGGTGCCTGGGACGCCCGCCAGTCCAGCTGCTCGGTTGCTGGCCTCCCCCTCTGCTCCCACCCCTCAGCAGAGTCTGCAGGCCCAGAGGGGCCAGGGGCTGCAAGCAGCTCCCCTCTGTTCAGTCAAAGGCTTTGCAAGCGGCCCTTGAAGGGGCTGCTGAGTATGAGGCTGAATGTTCTGTGCAGGCTGCTGGGGTTCCGCAAAGCGAATCGTCAGTTCCGCTGCCTGCCGAAGAGATCGTCGAGCTCCGAGGGCACCAGGCGCTGGTGACCCGGCAGGCTGTTGTCTGCACTCTCTGTGGCCCCTTTCAAGTGTCTGCTGGTAGGGCGGCCACATGTGAGCTCGACCTCAACTTCCTGAGGCCCTCTGAGGACCCCACGGCGCGGTCCAGACAGGGCGTCAAATCTCTGCGGTGAGAGCAGGCAAGCATCCCAAGACGGATAAGAAGCTTGCATAAATCTGCCTGGTCTTGTTTGGCCTCGCCCACCCAGTATGGTTGAGTGGTGAGGCTAGCTAGCCAGGCCCGCACGTTGCCCCGTGCTCCTGCATGTGGAAATTGTTTGAAATTGCCCGACTGGTCTTCCGCTGGATCTCCTCATCCTCTTCCCCTACCTCCTCCTCCCTCCTCCTCCTCCTCCTCCTCCGCCTCCTCCTCCCCTACCTCCTCCCTCCTCCTCCTCCTCCTCCTCCTCCCCCTCCTCCTCCTCCTCCCCCTCCCCCTCCCTCGCTTTGCCAGCGGCCCTCGGCGACCGAGATCCAGGGCGCGGCCGTTCGTGCGCGCCGGCCTCCCGGCGAGGGGCGCCGGGCGCCGAGCAGGGCCGCGCAGGAGCGGGGCAGGCGGGGAGGGCACCGGGCACCGGGCGGCGTGGAAGCGCGAGTCGTCAGACGAGGCGAGGCCGAGGAGGAAATTTAGGGACGAGGACGAGGAGGAAATGGGAGGACGAGGAGAGAATCGGAGGCGAGGACGAGGAGAAGCGAGGACGAGGGCGGCGTGGGAGAGCGAGTCGTCAGACGAGGCGAGGACGAGGAGAAAATAGGGCGGGGATGGATCGAGAATCATTGAGATCCGGCGGGCCTCGAGGACGTCTCGGGCGCCGCGGCCTTCTCGGAGCGTTCCCGAACGCTCTGAGAGCGTTCCGGAACGCTCTCGGACGGATCTGTCCTCGTCCTCGCCACGTCCTGAAGATCGAAACGTGTGTGTGGCTGAAGTTACGAGGCAACTCCTTTGAGGTCTTCGTAAGAAAGATGTAAGGCAATTGAGCCCGGTTCAGGTGCCACTAAGGCAGGTTAGCCTAGATCGAGCACGTGACCAAATCTGATTAGGTGATTAGGCCAGATTGAACGGGACCAAATATAATCAAGCGGAATCATACTGGAGGCCAGTTTTCGACAACGAATCTACCAGAAATGGTGCTGGATTTACCCTCCCAAGAGTTGCGGCCTGGTGGAAGTCACGCAAGGATCTCAAGGGAGACATCCACGGTCCCAAAGCTCTAAAATGTCGCAAAAAGCTGGGGACACCTTGGAACACGGACACATTGGTAACATCCAATCGATACGGCCGAGCTTCCAAACATCATTCTGCGCTCTGCGTTCTTGGTCGCTTCGAGCGCCAGGACCATCAGAACACGACTCAGGACGAAAAGCCAGACGCGGGGGAGAGGTCCAGAATTCTGGTGGCCCATCCCATGTCTTGGAGTTTTAGGGGTCCTGAAGAGTTAGGGGAGGGAGAGAAGCATGAGCATCAGCAGGAGGAGGAGCAGCAACAAGTGCGGGCGGAGGGGCCCTTTCACAAGCCACTCAGACGACGCAGGCAGGAGCACGAAGCCAGCAGGAATTCAAAACGGGCCTCGATCGCCGACATATCGTAGGCGACTGCAGCGGGAAGCATCAGACTGTTGAAGTAGTGAGCCGCTTTAAGAAGAGCCTGGGATCTAGGAATCCAGAAAGACGGGGATCGGAATCAGAAGCCCGCAAACTGTACAACCCTCGTCCCCCCGCCAGCGTCCTATTGCCCTTCGCACCAACCCTTCTCACCCTCCCCTCCTGGATATCCCTCCCCCCCATACTCCTCCCCCTTCTACTTCTCCCCTCCCCTTCCGTCTCCGCCTTGCCCTTCCTCCTCCTCTCCTCTTCATCCCTTTCTGCTCTTGATCATCCTTCTGCTCCTTGTTTTCCACATCCACCTGATCATCCTCGTCTCCATTGGGATCGGCGAGGAGCGTGAGGTGGGCCAGACTGGACACCGTGGGAGGGTCGACGAACAAGCGAGTCCTGGACGCCTGTGTCCACTGGGATCTCCATGACGGGCGTTGCACTTGGCCTACTCGGTCGTCAACGGCGGGCTCGGGCCCCGCCAATATCAGGATGAGCTGGAAGGCACCATAACGCGGCTGCACACAAAGGGCCCTGGGTTTCAACCTCTTAGCTGCTCGCCATGGCAGCAGGGGCATGGCTTCATCCCTGGCAGCATTGGTGCAGCTCTGCAGTGCCGATAGCCCGGTCCACGCGACGGCAGGGATCCATGCTCTCAGGAGTTGGCGAGCACCTCTTTCCACGACCCCACCCCTTACCCATGGGTGTGAAAATGTATGAACATGTTGTATGGCGCCAGCCCGTACTTCGTTACCGAGTCAAGCGTCCCATATGCTGACCAGGGCACTTCCAAGTCTCGTGGTGCGTCAACACTGGTGCCGTTCTGACGAGATGCACCAGAACGTTTAACGCTGATCGCATCCGAACCCGAATTCAAAGTTAACAGTGAAATATATTAACTTGTTCCCCCCACCCTCACAAACAACCTCCCTCCTTCCTCCATCAATGTATCCAATGGCTGTGCTCCCTCATACCTCCTTCGTTCTGCCGCCTCCTTCACCTTCCTGCCTCCTCCTCCTGCCTCATGCCTCTCCATGCATATCCTCAACCTCCGTTCCTCCCTTCTCACTCCTGATCCGCGTTCGTATTGCTCTCCACATATGCCTCCCTCTCCTTTGTATCCCCCTCTTTCTTTTCGATCTCCCTCCCATCCTACTCCTCATTTTATAGATCCGCATCTCTCTTCCCGCACTCCCCCGATAGACACCGGGAGCCTCGCAAGGACTTCGCGACATGCATGCCGTACTTCTCACTGCCACGCACTCTGGCCAAATACTATTACGACGTTAAGCTCGGCACCCTGCACACCATGGCAAGACGCAAGGCCAGCAAGCGCACGGGATGCAACACGCAAGGGCAGAAAAGAACCGAGGCATCCACTTGCTTCATGGACCACGCAATGCCCCGACGGACGAGCCTGGTGCTGCTGCGACGCCCCCGCCGCCAACGACATCAGCTCTCAACCCGCTCGTCGGAGGCAGCCAGGTGAGGCGAGCCGAAGGGGGGGGGACTGGTTCGGGAGGAAACTGCGGCCTGTCATCGGCGCGATGCACCGAGTCCGGGCGGGGGCCCCGATCGGCGCTGAACGGGCGACTTGGGGTCGAAGTCTACCCCGACCCACCCACCGCCCGTTTTCTCCGCACGCCCTTCAGTTCCACGCGGCTGTTACTTGCACGATGCGGCCAAACATTTTACCACGTCGGGGACGCTACAACAGTTTTGGCTCAGGCCTGGCCGGCAAAAGAGGCGAAAGGGCAGGAGGATGGGAGGGGCTCGATGTAATTCTATACACCGTCCTCTGGTTCGGCCAACAACAATACAGCACCACGACTCCAACCAAATTGCCGACCGCGCAACCACCTCGAAGCGATCAACAAACCACTAAACGAACCCGAGCCACACCAACCAACCACGCAACACTCTCGAACCAACCGGCCAACTAACCACGCAATAAGCATACTCAACCAAAAACACCAACGCAGCGAACTGGATCCGAACAACCAGCCACGCAACATACCCGAACAAACCACCACGCAGCAAACGGACACCAACCAGCAAAACCGCATCACGCAACAAACCCGAACAAACCAAATCCGACGACCCCTATGGGTCACGGCGTGTGAAATAGTTCCCCCTCCCCAGACCCTTCCCCTGACAGCCCGGTCCGGCCGGTTTGGAGAGGGGGGGAAGACAAAGGTGTCATCAGGCCCTACGAGGCCCCAGATGGCTCCAAGCAGCCCCCGCGACGGCCCAAGAGGCCCCCGAGACGCCCAAAGGTAGGCCCAAGACGCCCATGATGGCCCCAAGACGGCCCCGGAAGCCGCCTAGACGGCCCAGGAAGCCTCCAAGAGCATTCCCAAGTGGGACCCAAGAAGCCAAAATCGTCCAATCGCGGATGGGAGCGCGGAGAAAGGATGTGTGTGTGTGTGTGCATCGAAAAGTAGACCGCTACGAAGGCATGTTGATGGCCCCTTGGGACCCCATTCGGCCCTTCTTGGACTCCTCTTGGTCCTCGCTTTGGGCCAGGTTTTGTTCCTCCCGAGCCCGCGAAGTGGAGCATTTGAAACGGTTGTTTTAGATGCTCCACTCAGGCTGGATATTGGGGCGTCTTGGACCCCACCCAGAGTTCGCGTTGGGGTCTCTGGGGCCCTCTTGTAACGCTCATCGGTGTCCTCCTGGGGCCCTGTTGCAGCTCTCTTCGGGCCTATTTGGGTCCCCCGAAGTGGACCATTTCAAACAGCACGGCCGCGTCAGGGCCCCAGGGGTGCCTAGCGTGCGTGGCGCCCCTGGCACGCGTGGTGCACCTCGCTCAAGAGTCGCGCACCTGGGGCCGGCTTTGGTTCCCAGTAGCTGCCCATCCAAATACGACCGCTGACCATGCTCAGGCTCGGGTGTTACTGATGTGTTGGGAGGGCGGGTTGGAGTGAGCTAGACGGCTTGCGGGCGGGTGGGTAGCTTGACCCGAACCCCTACCCTGACCCAAACCCAGACCCTTCTCCATAACCGCAGCCCCAACCAAACGCCCTAATCCGAACCGCTGCCCTGACCCCAACCTCTGACCCCTAACCCCTAATCCGAACCCTGATCCTAAACCCTAACCCCATACCCCTACGCTAACCCCGAACCGGAACTCGAACCCCAACCCTAAACCCTAAACCCAAACCCATAATACTAAGCCTAACCCATATCCTAACCCTAACCCTAAAACCGAACCAGAACCACGAATCCCAACCTTAACCCCGACCGCAACCACTACCTTAGCCCCTACCCTAACCCCTACCTACTCTAGCCATAACCCCAAGTCCTAATCCTCAATCTAACCCTAACCCCGAACCCTAAACGTAAACCTGTGTTTGCCCGAAACCCGAATCCTAACCCTTCCCCCGACCCCAAACTTAACCTCTACCCAAAGCCCTACCCGAAACCCTACCCCCTGACCCTGGCGCTAAGCCCGAACCCCAAACGGCAACCCACACTGTAACTCTGACCCGAAACCCGCAACCTTGCCCCGAACCACAACCCTAAGAACTAAGAGCCTATAAAGATTACAAATCCTAGAACTCCTTAGACACCTCCTTCCGCGCTCCCTTATGCCTCCCCCCATTTTGGCGCACCCCTCACGCAGATCCTTGGCCCTCGGAGCTCCAGGAATGGCGTTTTGGGCGGATCTGCAAAACCCAGGGCGCCGCGTCGCGGGGGAACGCTCTCGCCAAGCAACGAACCATCCCGCGCGCATCGCCCAGGCGTCGGTCAGTTGCTGCGGGGAGCTGCTCGTTTGTGTCGCTTCGCGTGCGCGCGTCGCATCGCCCTAGCATCGGCCTTCGCGCACCGCGCCGCAATGCTAAGGATGCGAACTGGAGATCCGTCTCCTCGAGGCAACGAGCTCTCCCACGCTCGTTGCGCAGCCACTCCATGCAATCTCACCGCCGCTGGGCGGCGTCCCTGCGACGCACAGGGACTCGCGTAAATAGACGATGTTCTTTGAATCGCGTCGTCGCGCGCGTGCCGCATCGCCGTTGCAGCGGTTTCCCAGAAGACTTTGCGCGACTGTCGTCGTCGTCGTTTTGAAATCAATATCGTCTTCGTCATCGGTATCGTCGTCGTCGTCGTCGTCCTGAGATCAAGATGTCTTGGGTCATGGGTGGGTGGGACACGTCCAACCGGCTTCAAGTTTGGGCTAGTGGACCCGACCCCTGAACCCGAAACCCAAACCCGAACCCTAAACTCACCACTAACAGCATAACAGCATAACCATCACGCGCTAAACTATCACTTTAACCCGAACAACTTAGCCTTAACTCCCTTCCCACCCCTACCTACCTACCGACATGTTCGGAAACCAGGAATCGGGATGCCAGAACCCACCACCCCTCTGGGAGGGGGAGGGGGGGCCGGACCCCCCCGTTGCGACCCATGTGATGGACGCTACAGCCTTTGCGGCTCAAACCAAGCCGACAAAAGAGAAGGAAGGGAATGAGGAAGGAGGATGGGAGGGGCTTGATGTATACAACACGTCGTTTGGTCGGCCAAGTAGGACGCCAGAACGTCTGTACACCGAATTCCTTCACCGAGTTCATTGGCTCCGTGATCTACCAAACGACGTGGTAGTGTATACATCGGATAACAAATAATGATATAAACATAAACTGTTGGAGGTCCGCGCGGATTTCTCGGATCGGCGCTGGCGCGCGGAGCGCCCCAGGGGCGGCGCCAGGCGCGCCGCCAGGGGGCTCCAGCGCCGAGCCGAGAACATCCGCGCGAGCCTCCACGAAACAAAATGTTATACAATTCTTCCTTCCCCGAGGGAAAAGGGGGGGAACGGTAATCGAGCAAGGACCGACCGTCCCGGCATTCCTGTAGTCCTACCACGAAATGTTCATAGACCCCAAACATGTTCTAAGAACAAAAACACTGTTCTTAGAACATAAGCCCGATGTGTTAAACCAGGACAGTCCTGGCCAGAAATGTTCTAAGAACATTTCGTGGGAACAACAAAAGGTTCTTAGAACATTGTTTGGTAGGGCTATGGGCACGCCAGGACGCTTCGCCACTGCTTGAGGTCAGGGGCGGAGGAGGACACCGATGGCCAGACGCCAGCCCACGCGAATGCTCTCGAAATCCAGACCTGCGAGGACATGCAGGGCTCCCATGATCTGCGACCGAGGAAGAGCGGCAGTGAACGCGGAGGGGGACTGAGAAGGAGAAGGTCTTCTCAGAAGGCGTCGGGACTTCTCAGAGGCCCGCTGGCATTCTGAGAAGTGTTCTGTGCCTTCGGGGAAGGCTTAGAGAACCTCTCAAATGCCGAGGGCTTCCGAGCCTTCCGAGAAGGCCTTCTCCTTCCCACTTCCCACCCGGCTTGCCGCCGAGCAGAAGGAAAGGAGGCGGGAGGCGGGATGGCCGCCTCATGGCCACCAGCAGCTGCGCCACCCGCTGCGGGAAGCGCTGCGCGTGCGCCAAGGCGCTCGCGCAATGGTCCGCGACCGGGCCGTGTTCCTCCTGTTCGCCAGGGCGGGGGGACGCCGCAACCCTGAAGCAGTGGAAGGGAGACAACGACGACGACGAAGACGAGACAACGACGAAAAAAAGGCAGGGAGACGGGATAATGCCAGGCTAGCTGCGCTCGCGTCATATCTGACATCCCATATATCCCTATCTTCCCGTCCGATTGCGCTGAGTTTGTCTTTATCCGCGGACGCATCTCGCAACCGACATTACTAAAGTCCGAGAAAACATCGTGTTATGCACAGTCGGACAAACGAGAGCTAAGCACATAGAAGGGGGAGGAGGAGGAGAAGGAAGAGGAGGAGGAGGAGGAGCAAGTGGAGGGTGAGCAAGGAGGACCAAAGAAAACCGCGAATGCATCACCGATGCTGCAAGTCATCCTCCCGTCCCAATTCCCCTCACCACATAGGTCCCTACATACTTCCCTTGCCACTACGGAAAAGCAGCCCTTTGGAAGACTGGCACCCTATACCCTACAGGCCTGCCAGTCAGGAGCGGGGCCAATTGTTTTTGAACTGTGTTGCACAATTGTAGCGCTCAGTAGAATGCGAGCAAATGTGGTCATGCAGTTCTACGCAGTGTCCAACGACACCCGCGCGCTTTTATTTTAAAGGGCCACCCCAGCCATGTATCTGCTGCACAAATGTACATTCATAGTCGCGCAGCCCGAGGAAACTTCACGCGTGAACCCCATTTTGAAAAGAACCCTCGTCCACTCATGCAGCTGGTACATATGTTGAATACCATTGCCATTGAATTCACGGGACGTTCACGCGACAACCCCAGTTTGAACATGACCCGCTCGATGTTGTGTGTGACTCGGACTGTGGGCGGCGTTATGGCGAAAACTTTAGTGTGGAACGGGCCGCCCCCGTCCGTCCTTGTAACTGTCCGCCGCGCAAGGACCACGGCATCATTTGGATAACCAGCCGCCCTGCATCCTGGTGGTTGCTGCAGACTGCTGAGGCGGTGTGCGGCAATGACAACAAACTGGTGCTCCATCCACGTAGCTCTCTCGGGAGCGGCCAAGAGGGGGGTGTCCAAGAGGGGGGGGTGCAAATCATGACCGGCGGCATGTGCGCGGCCCAGCGGGGGGTCCAGGGACGTACTGAAATGAGAAGAGGCGCCCTGAATTCTGAGGAGATATCATGGCCCACGCCATGATATCCACCCCCCCCTAGTCATCACCCCCCTATTTGCCGCCCCCGATCTACGGGTGTGTAAAACTCAAGCGAAACGCCGGGTCCGCCCAAACGGCGCGCCCGGGAAGGCGACAGGGAACAAAAACTAAAGAACAGGAGTGGAGGACGAGGCAGGGAACGGGGTCGGCTCGGGCTCGTGGAGGTTTGCGGCGCGGCGTCGGCGCAGGAGAAAGAGAAAGGGGCAGGACGTGGAAGGCCACGACGGGGGGGCGAAGAGGAAGGATGGGGGGAGGACGACGCGACGGGGGAGGACGACGCGACGGGAGGACGACGCGACGTGGAAGGCCACGACGGGGGGGCGAAGAGGAAGGATGGGGGGAGGACGACGCGACGGGGGTCGGCAAGGAACTGCTGGACTGCAGGCTGGGGTGTCACGCGAAACGCCTATGCCTCACGCGAGCGAGGGGCCAACTTGAAGTCGGCAGCAGCGACCTCAGAGCGAGGGGGGGGGCAGGCAGCGACAAAGGACAGCGAAGGGAGGCGGCCCGCCGATGCCAGCCGATACGAGTCGGCGGGAGCTCTGGCCAGCCAGGCGGCACTGAGGCGGCGGGCGGAGCGAAGGCTCAAGCCACCAACGCCCATTTTTCCACGAGGCGGGAATCTATCCATAAAAACTGCGCGGGAAATCGATTGCCATGGGACCCCGGCGCGCGGCGACTGGCGATACGCTCGCCCTCCTCCCCCTAAGCAACCCCGCCCGCGCAGGGCCCGAAATAACGACGCGGCCCTTGATGCTCCTGTGCTTTTTCTTTCATTCTGTTGTTGTTGGTTTCACGGGGGCGCGCCATTGGCGCGTCGAAGGCGCTTGGAGCTCTTTCGCGCGACATTCTCCCTCTTCCTCTGCCGGCCCAGAACGCGCAGCCCAGCTGCGCGCCAGATGGGCTAAACGCCCACGCAGCCAGGAGAATCGGCTGCGCGGCAAGACCGACGGGAGAGGAGGGGAGTAGGGAGTTGCTTCAACATCACAGGCCACAGCAATGCAGGCTTCAGCGGCAGGCCAGTGCTGGACCTGACCTGCGCTGGACCCAACGACCGCACAGCGCACCAGGTGGAACTTGCCGTGAACTGCAACGCAGGACGCCTCCACATCCACGACGAGGAGGAGCAGCAGCAGCAAGGGGAGGAAGAAAGGAAAAGGAAGAGGAGGGAACAAAACGGACGACGCCGGCATTCAGCTGTTCTGCTTGAAGAGCAGCACCCACCGAAGGTGAGCGGCCCCCATGCCTAGGCACTCGGTGTGTGTAACCGCGCGCAGGTAACCTTGCCCGCCACCACAGGCCCTCTTGCCCAAGGGGGGCGGGCCAGGCGGCACAGGACTTGGGCCGCGTCCGAATGGCCGACCCCCCTAGCCACATCCTGCGCCGCGTGTGTGGAGCCTGTCCCCACACGGAGCAGACACCACGTAGGCCGACGCTGACAGGAGGACTGATCCGCGCCAGCCCAGAGGGGCTACCTCCGCGGCTCGTGAACGCCAAACTCCCAAGGGACCTGAGACGGCAAACCCATACAACAGCGGTGCCGCCACAGGGCCCCCAGGGAACCAGCGCCCCTGGCCCGCCGCGCCGCCCCTGCACAGGCGACGTCTTGGCGGAATTCAATTCACCGCAAGAGCCCCGACGTGCCGCCCACACGCCGAAGTGCCCTCCTGGGGGCATGTTCCTCCTCCTCCTCCTCCTCCTCCTCCTCCTCCTCCTCCCATTCCAATCCTCCTCCTCCTCATCATCCTCCTCTTCCTCCTTCTCCTCCTCCTCCTCCTCCTCCTCCTCCTCCTCCTCCTCCTCTCTCTTGTGTTCCACATCCTCCTCCTGGTGGCTTCCCCATCCTCATCCGCACGGGGGTGACTAGGAATGATAGTACTACTAATTCCAGTAATCAAATCAATTCGAAGTGTAGTAATAGAAATAGTAAGAATTATAATGATTTGACTAATAACTGTGATACTATTCAGAAGACAAATAATAATAATAATAATAATAACAATAATAATAATAATAATCAGTCTACAAAGAAACGGAAAGGGTGCAATTATGTTTGATTGCTGCCCCCCGCTTCCCCAACATCACTCCTCCTCCCCTAGGTGGGGGCAACACCAACAAAAAACGGCAGGGGAGGAGGGTGGGGGTTTAGTGTTGGTTGATGTCCTCTTCCCCACCCTTTCAAGTTTCCTGACTAAGGAATCCTTGCTGAAGGACCCCTTCCTGATGGCACCCCTCCTATGAAGGAGTTCTTATGTAGAGATGAAGAGCCCATACTACAGGGCGCCTCACACGGCGGCCCCTTACTAGAGGCAACCCCATCAAGGACCCCCCAACAAAAACATGTTTACCAAAGACCCCGTTGCTACAGGTAGCCTTCCTCAGGACACCGCACCCTGATTAATGAACCCCTACGCAGAAGGAGGGGACCCTTACAACAGTTGTCATCACTAAAGGGACGCATCATTAAAACCTCAGTACGAACGATCCATTACTAGGGGCATCGATTTCTGGATACCTTTTCGGAAAAAAAAACATGGATAACGAATCCTTACTACACGGACCCCACCAAAAGGATCCTTACTACGGGTATTCCTTGGCAGCGGCATCGTTTCGAACGAATGTATAGTACATGCCACCACAATACGAGCTTCCAAACTGAAGGGGCCCTCATTGAGGATCCGTTGACCAAGGACACCCCTACATCGAATGCGTCCGAAACTGGAGGCGTCGAAATTCAGAGCGCGTCCTAACGATAATCATGGTAAGGAAGCCATGCCGCAATATTACTTGCTGAAATAATCCGACTCAAGACATCCTCACTAAGCAGCCGTTGTTAGTGGACTCGTGGATAATCAAATCTTACAACGGGGACCAGTGCTGATGGGGGACTTACTGCAAGCATTCTTAATACCACATAAAGGGCTCATCACTAAACGGGCCCGCGCTAAATATTCTAAACACCAAGTACCAACTACATTGTATATTAAAAACAAAACATGCTTACGAAAAAGTACGACGAGCATCTCTACGGTGGCTTCCTTACTACAGGGATCCTTCCTCAGGGTTCCGTGATGCAAGCATCCTTGCCAATTGGCGTTTACTACAAAAGTCCTTACGCATGAACCCGGACAAACAAAACAGGAATACGTCCTCAGGGCCCTCTTACCACGAACACCCCGACTGAGGATCTCCAACGATGGCCCCAATGAGGGCGGTCGCATGGCGTCCCATACTGCGTCGTTGCAAAATGTCGTCGCGTTGCATGGGGGCGTCAAGATGGTGCAGGTTTCGTCCACTCCTTCCGCGCAAAGTGGGCGGGCGAAGGCTGACCCCTGTTCCATTCGCGCCACGCTGCACCCCCTTTACGCCCCATAGAATCCTAGCGGACTGGGTCAAGAACGGTCGGATCAACGATCCAGGATTTCTAATATCCAGGATTCTACCAATTATAATGTGTATATATATATACATACATACATATACATATATATGTATAACGGGGGATGCTTACATCGGGAAGTTAAAGAATACGCGATCTTGGAAACCCCACCGGGCGCGATCCTGCCCTGCCAACGCAAGATACGTACAACTCAATTCGTGACTGGAACTTTGATGCGCCAATGCATGGGGTTCATTGACTGAGCCTTGCGGAGCGAGAGAGAGAGAGAGAAAGAACAAAAACACGATAAACAGAGAAAGGGGGGAAGAGAGGGGGGAAAGAGAGAGAGAGAGGGCGCGAGAGAAAGAGAGAGGGAGATAAGTCGCCGGCCCTTCTGCACACATACATCCTTACCAATGAATGCGGCGAAATAAC